AAATTTCAATGTTGTTTTCCGATTATTTTCTTCCATTCCTTTCAATGAAATGAAAAAAAAATAATTAAAAAGCTCATGCCCTATAATTTTTACAGAAAAAATGTCAACAGACTGTTTCCGTCGAATAAGTGTCGTTGCCCAATAAACATGTTAGATATTGAGATGCTAGGAATCTCAAGTAATACCTCGTCACCAGCCGGTGCCCAGACACTACCTCGCCCCCTTTGTCTCTCATGAGTGACCCATGATGACTCATCATTGATGAGTCACATGGTAGGCTAATTCCCTATAGTTTACTTTATATCTTCTAACTCTTTTTATTTCTTTCATTCCTACCTATTCCATTGGTAGTGAGCTTCTGAATAGATCTCTGATAATTATGTACAATCATTAACAAAAGTTCTGTAAGAATCTCAACTTCGGTGATATTGCATGGATTTTTTCATAAAGATGTATATCTCCAGAACGCATGATGCAATGGAACTAATTTTTTATGATTTATTTTTATCATGAGAGGAAGATTCTGTCCAAATTTCAAGTTGATATCTCAATATTTGCACAAGCTAAAGTGATTGCAAGAATTTTTATGAAAAAAAACAGAGAAAGGGGAATATCTCGAAAACTATATGAACGGATATATATGTTTTGATTGATTCAGATAGAAGACATCGAACCGAATATTTAAAAACAGAAAAAATTGAAATCGGTTCACTAGCTTCGAAGATATTAGCAAAAAACGATTTAAAAACGAATAGCTTTTTCTAAAAAACTTTCTGGTCAATCGGGCTGAAATTTTGCACAGAGTTAGTCCTCGGTGAGGCCTATAATCTGACAAAATTTCAGATTTTCGGAATAAGTTTAGCCAATTGTATATTCAATTTTCAAAAAATTGACCACCGGGAAGGTGGCGATGGACATTGAGACCGACGGACATGGTCACCAAACTTCGTATTTTTACGTTTCAGACCATTCTACATCTTTTCCAATCTAAATTAGAGAATGTGAAAACAGCACGATTGCAATGCTTCTATTTGGAAGTAAAAATAAATATATATCAATGAATATAGGGGAACGTGGGGCAAAATGGAACGTTTCTCATCGACTCAAAATCCCAATATTTTTGTTTATAAACGAAGATATAAAGAATTAGAGTAGATCAGAAACGTTCCATTTTGTCCCACTCTCCCCTATATATAAATAACAATATATCAAGCGATATAAAAAATAAATAATATATGGAAATGCCATTGAGGCAGATTGAGTAGTTTGACAGTCAAACTTGGAATATATAGCAATTGTACACTTTCATAATAATCAGTCCATTTTCTAAAAAATCGAAGGAAAGAGGATCGCAAATACCGAGATTTCCACAGAATTGGTGGATATTGATGACTAATTGGACAACTGATTCACGATTTTCCACGAATAAGTCACATATTGGACCAGTTGGGCGGGGCAGGGCGTGTCGGCAAGGGAGACAGCAAGGGTTATAATATTTGGCGTGATTTTTGGCGACGGGCGGCCGCCACCCCCCCGGGTGGCCTGGCTGGGGAGACAGCAAGGGTTATAATAGTTGGCATGATTTTTGGCGACGGGCTGCCGCCCCCCAGGTGGGCCGGCAGGGGAGACAGCAAGGGCTATAATAGTTGGCATAAATTTTGGCGACGGGCTGTCGCCCCCCCCCCCCACACCCGTCAAGTTAATTGGAACTGATGGCTAGTAAACGATAAAGGATATATGCCATTAAATTCCCAATGATGTTGACTGTTTCTTGAATGAAGAATTCTGCTAGGCAGAGTTAAAAAACTACAGTAAACTACAAGAATTAATTATTCAGTCATCACTGATCTATCGATAATTGCATCAAAATGCTCAGCGTTACAACCCACGTTGGTCGATCGAAAATTGTTGATTTGAACCATCCCGCTTGCGTAAAATTTCGAGCTCATTTTTCTGAGCTGCAAATCAATGCCCGAGTTTATTGAATACTGGTAGGACGAAGAGATATTTTCATCCTGAAAAGGCGCGGTCTCATTTGAATGATTCGCCTCTTGTGTCAAACATTTCGTTGTTATTAAAAAACAAAGCGATAATTTATGTTTTTAAATCCAAATCAAACAATTCACGCATGAAACAATCCAATAGAATTTTCTAGCGAATTCACTAGAAAATCCTATTGGGATTCTACTGGAAAATTCTGTTTGTTTTTTGCGCGGATTCTATTGGATATTGTACCGGCAAAATTCAATAGATTTTGAGTTTCTGTTGGAATTTTTCTATTGAGATTTTTCTACTAGAATTATTTTTCACAAATTTTCAAATTTTTTGCCGCTGGATTCGGTTTCGTGTTGCATTACTGAATCCGAGTGAAAAAAACTTGGAAAATTTATGAAAAATAATTTTGACAGATAAATCTCAATAGAAAAATTCTAACAGAAATTCAAAATCTATTGAATTTTGCCTATAGAAAATCCAATAGAACGAGCGCAAAAAACACCGAATTTTTCAGTAGAATTTCAATAGAAGTTTCTAGCGAATTCGCAAAAAAATTCTATTGAATTTTTTCATACGTGTTCCTTTTTTTGGTTATTTTTAACTTGCGATTCCTTCGGTCAAAACAAGACTTGTTGGGAAACTCGTTCGACTTCCTCTTCGTGTTCAGAAAAGACAGTTTGATTTAGCTTCGAACGAGGAGAGGTTCATATCATTTTCATTTCACTGAGTCCTTTGATATTAGCAACATTGCTCTCCTGCGTTAACCATGAAATTAAAATGATTATTTCTGGCAATCGGATTTGGCCTTCCCTGGGCCAATCAGAGCTCAGTATTCAATAACATGAAGTACTTCCCAAATAAAATATTAGCGGCTATTTACCGCTAGCTTTTGATTATTTCCCTGTAGCTCTGCAATTATTTCTCTAACCAAATAGCTGTCAAATATTATCCTGTGGAGTGAAAGAAAAGGCCCAACGGAGGCCAGATCTGATAACCAGAAATAATCCGTCGAATACCACTCGACCTGAAAAATTAATCGGATATTTCCCTCATGTTTTCCTGTGTAGCAACGATCGGGATAAATTTTGCACAAAAATCCCTCGCGCTGCGCGCTCGGGATTTTAATCTGCAAAACTTGTCCCTCTCGTTGCTACACAACAAAACAATTGGGAAATATCCGATAATTTTGGAGGTCATGTGGTATTACTACTGAATATAGACTGTTACAATTAGAAATGCTGATGCAATCGCTGCAGGTTTTTCATGATGCTGCTAGCTCGTGCAATATTTTTCCTATTTCAATACCAAAGTAAAAATCATTTTTCATCGCGCTGTGCGAAAAAGTAACTTTTTAGATACGCTTCGCTTCACGTGCCTGAAACGTCTCTTTACCACACATTGTGATGAAAAATATCGTACGATACTCGTGGTAAAAATGTTTTTTGGCTCGTGAGAGGTTTTGTAGCACCAACCGAAGGCAAGTGATATAATCCCACGAGCCAAAAAACACTTTTCCGCACTCGTATCGAAATATACTATTCTAGTATCGCAGTCAAGAGTTTTTAATCTCCATCTATTTTCCAAGCTTTTCATGAGTAGAGTTTCGATTTTTCCTGCCCTTCCCTTTCCTTTATCTCACTGCCACTATTCCTTAATTATATTGAACATTTTTCTATGATTCGTTAGTTGAAACCTACTATGACTCACACGATCAAGCGTAGTTTGTGAGTGAAGTTTTGAAAACCCCCTCCCTCGCCCTCCTCCGCCCATTGTTGGCCTTTCGAGCGACCTACCGACGGGCGATGGCACCTGTATATAAAGTGAGGAGTTTAATCACCCTCATCACATTCGATCATCCCTGTCCAACAGGTCATGACTATGAAGGTTATAGTATTTTTGAACGAAGAAAAATCTCAACGAATCATGTCAAGTGACGGTGCTGGAAGTTCGGCCGGTAGAAAACTAATTACCGCTGCTCGAAAGCGTTATCGATTTGTGAAAGAGGAAAACGTCAGCTATTGCATGGTGGACGGATGCAATAAGATAATACAGGTAATTTGAATATGTTCATTTATTTAGAGTTGGATTAATATAGACGGGGGGTATTTAAATACTTTGTAACAAATGATCGTTATCTCGCAGGACAACCATAATGGCAACCTGGAAAAACATCTCAGTAAGCGCCACGCAGAAGAATACAAGCGGGTTCTTGAGGAAAAAGCTGCTGCCGAGGTAGCGAAGAGGCCGAGATCTAAATCGTTGGCAGTGTCAATCACTTCTGAAGAGATCAAAGAAGCCTGCATTGAATTGGTGACTGTAAACGGACGTCCATTCTCGCTGATAGATGATAGTGGTTTCCGGAAGCTCCTAAATCCTCTCATCGCAACCGTCAGAGAAAACGAAGCTTTCAGCATATCAGCAGCTAATGTCCGATCAATGGTCATCGACAAGGCCAAGGAAGTTCGCGAGTTGATACGAAACGATTTAAGAGTATGTATTCAACTCTCCTCAACTTCGGTTGATTATTTCCTATGTATTCTTGTGAAATGCTGATTCTTCCTTACCCAATTTTTCAAGCAAGTATAATCACACAATTCTTGAATTTCCTTCATGGGTCATAGTTTAATATCATTCTGTTTACAGGCGAGATTCGTCAGTTTGAAGGTGGATGCTGCGACGCGCCTCGATCGGGGGTTCCTAGGCATCCACGTTCAATACGTTGAAGAGGGAGCGATCCATGTGAGGACTCTTGGGATCATCGAATTGACTCAAAGGCACACAGCTGCATACTTGCAAGCGGAAATTGAAAAGGTGTTGGAGCTGTATGATGTCAATATCGCTAATATCTACATTTTCACATCCGACAACGGAGCAAACATGGTGAAACTGGGGAAGCTGCTCCAAGAGAAACAGGAACAGATCATTACCGAAGAGGATGAAAGTGACAACGGTGGTTGGAATGATGAATGTATGGATTCGGAGAATCTCGAGGCAAAGATTAGTGACCTGGAGTTCTGTTGTTGTTTATCCAACGGTAAATCCATCATCTCCAATATTTGATGTGCAGCTCACACGCTTCAGCTAGCCATTGAAGATGCCCTCAAGAGCCTTAGCGACACAGCAAATACTCTGACAAAGGCTCGAGATGCCGCTAAAGCTCTGCGAACACCCAACTTCCGGAAAACATTGCTGTTATCCAAACCAAATGCAAAGAAAGTCAAGCTCGATGTACCGACTCGTTGGCATTCTACCGCGGATATGTTGCAATCAATCGTGGAGGTGAAAAATTTTTGTCAAGACTTTTCATCTACACATAAAGGTTTGGATTTCACTAACGACGAGTGGGAATACATCGAGAACTACTTGGAGGCATTGACGCCGGCAAAGAATGCAACGATTCGACTCCAAGATGAACAACTTATGCTTGGCTCCTACGGTATCTGGCTGGAATGCAAATTGGACACAGCAGATATTCCGACGCCATTGGCACAACAACTGGTGAAGGCGATGGAGAACAGAGAATCGCAGCTACTAGAAAATGAAGCTCTCCTGGCTTCGGTTTACTTGGATCCTCGATTCTTTCCTCTCCTCCCGAAGAAGTATCATTCAATACCGGTCACCAAATTAGAGGCATTGTGGAATTCGCTCGAGGAACGCAACAGGAGCTCAGGGAATCGTCAGCTGAATCAATCTGGTAGTACAGGCACAAGGGATTCTCAAACTGAACGACAATCCAATTGTACAGTTGACGGATTTCAGAGTGATCGCCTTCGTAGAGCACTGAATATCGCAGTTGCTGCTCAGAGTATGAAGTCTTCATCCTCATCAAATATACGAAGACTCTTGGAGGAATTTGGAGAGGCACCTTTGTTCTTGGACCCGAACAGCGACATCCTACACTTTTGGGAGAGCAAGAAACACGTCATGCCCCAACTCTATCAATTGGCTATAATTGTCCATGGTGCACCTGCAACTCAAGTCACTGTTGAACGATTATTTTCGGGAGTGAGATATATTTACTCAGACTTAAGAGCAAATTTGAAATCAAAGATTCTTGACGACATTATGGTGATTCGGTGCAACACTCAGAATTTGAATAGAATTCAGAAATTAAGAAGAAAAGCTGCCTCTAAACGTCAACGGCCAAGAACTGATGCAGATGTACCAACATCGGAGACTTCAACACCGAATCCAATGAGTCCCGTAATCCACGAAGAGTCCTCTATCCATGATTTTGAAGATATCACAGGATCTTTCGGAGGCTCTACTACTAATGTATCATCCTCGCATGTTTTGAACTTCGAACAGATGTAATGAAACTATCAAACCATTTTTACAACAGTTACTGTGATCTACCATGTTATTCTCTATTTGAAAGTTTAACGATGAAATCACCTCGATTTGGTCTTAATTTGTTATAATAAACCAGATTCATAACTTATCTTTTGAATTACTTTCTTCAACCGCCCAGCCATTTTGATTACCTTTCACTTGTTTCTAGATGCTACCACAACTTCTTCTTACTCACATATTGCTCCAATGATATTATCACATAAAAATTGCAAAAATGAGCGCAACCGGATTTATTTGTTTGAACTCTTGTCGGAGACATTGAGAGATTGTTTTTCTTCTCTCTAAAAACTTCCGTTACCAATTATAATTACGAGCTACAATTGACAACAAAAAGCAAAATGGTACATAAAACTGTGACTATTTTCTCAATTTTTTTTTCTCTGTGAATTTCAGGAGATTTTTCAAATTTACTGTGCATTCATGGTGTTGTGATTAACTCAGGGGTGCGATGCTCAGGAACAGAAAATTGAGTCCTCAGAGAATCTGCTTCGTGAAATATCTGAGAGATAACGGATTTTTTGTTGAGATTTTCTCCTAGAGCAAGAGGAGATCTACAAACAAGTAGTAAAATAATGATTTCGATATCTATCTTGAATTCAGAGAGATTCATTAACAACCCATATCCAGATTGAACTGCGGATTATCCCTTGAATCCGAAAATAAATTCCCGAAAATTATCTCAGAAATTTATTTTTTTCGGTTTACTCACTTTTTAAATTATCCCATGCCGTACAAAAATCATTATTTTGAGTAGTTGGACGTTAAAGTAGTACATGAAAGGTGTTTTCAGTTAAAAAATTATACATATACGCTGTTGACTAAAAACATGAGTAAACAAAAAAAAATAATTTTCTTATTATATTTTCAGAACCTCAATGCGAACGATTATAAAACTTTCATTTCAGAAATTCAATGGAATGACGTATGCAACATTTTTTCATACGCTTTTTTGTTTTATATAACAGAACATGTTGATAGATAGGGCTGAGTGGGGGAAAGTGGGGCGTATATCATCGAGTTATGATCTTGATATCTTTGTTTATAAAGAGAGATATTGAGATTTTGATTTCATGAAAAATGTTTCACTTTGCCCCATCTTGCCCTAAAAACTCATTTTTGTAGATAAGGTGAGACAATTTCTGAAAAAATCAATGTTCAAACATTTTTTTTGTAGTCAATAATGACTTGTAATTAAAAGTGGAGAAAAAAGCTTGTAGATGTTTGTAAACCAAAAAAAATCCCCAATGTTCGAAAAATGATTGGTAAATTGTAGATTTACACAAATGAGCATTCAAAATTATTAATGATTTCGTCTTCCAAGAAAAAGTTTCGTAATGATACAAATTAAAACTAATCGTCGCTTTTGACGGATGAAAATGAAATAGGAGATATGGAGGATTCTCTGTCAACTCAGTCACCCATTTCCATCACAGTCTCAAAAAATTCTGAAAAAATTCCGGGATGTTTTTATACCAAAAAAACTTTTTTGTGAATTGTTTTAGATTTTTTAGGTAATTCGGTAGATGGAGATATTCAATTTTTGGAAATGAATTATTTTCTACTGTATTTAATACTCAGAAAATTATTTTTATAATATTTTCATACATGAAATTTGTATTTTTTCCTCAGCTTTCCAATAAAAATATTTTCAGATTTTGTTGATCTATTTATGTGCTCTTTTTGCTCAAAAAACCTGAAAAATCTCTCTAAAATGCCGTTTATAGGTCTTCGGGCAATTTTGATGGTCATAAAAAAAATTGAGAATACTCCTTGTATGTATACAATGCGTAAAAAATGGACGAAAGTGGGTATTCAATTCCTACACCCTTAAAAAAATTGAAACTTGATTAATGAGTTTTATTCATGAAATAACTGCGAGCGTTAACTACATTACTATTTTGTTATGTTTAGAAAAAAAACAATATAACTAAGCAACTATTGATTGAAGAGACTTCACCAAACGTTTAACAGGGATGTTGTGTTGTCGGAAAAGAATTGAATAATCCATGTCTATGAAGTTTACAATGAAGAATATGGAAAAAATTAGAAAAACAATACATATTGTTTTTCTAATTTTCCATCATAAATTAAAAAAAAAATTAACTCAATTGACCAATTACGTGGGCATGAGAGAATTGATCAATCTCCATAATTAGTTTACTCGAAATTTCAGAGAAATTCGTAGAATCAGTCAATATTAACTGATTCAACGAATTTCTCTAAAATTTTGACGATGGATAGATTTTGTTTCCCTAATTTTTTTCATAATTTTCCGTTGTAAATTTCATAGACAAGGATTATTTCATTTTGTTCCAACAACAAAGCATCCCTGTTGGACGTTGACTGAAGTCTTCGCAGTCAATAGTTGCTGAATTATATTGTTTTATCCCTAAATATAACAAAATATTAATGTAGTGAATGCTCAAATTTATTTTACGCATGAAATGAATTTATTGATGAAGTTTCAATTTTTTTAAGGGTGTAGGAATTGAATACCCACTTTCGTCCATTTTTTTAGGCATTGTATACATACAAGGAGTATTCTCAATTTTTTTTATGACAATCAAAATTGCCCGAAGACCTATAAACGGCATTTTAAAGAAATCTTTCAGGTTTTTTTGAGTAAAAAGGGCACATAAATAGGTCAAAAAAATCTGAAAATATTTTGATTGGAAAGCTGAGGAAAAAATACAAATTTCATGTATGAAAGAATAAAAATAATTTTCTGAGTGTTAAATGCAGTAGAAAACAATTCATTTTTAAAAATTGAATATTTCCATCTACCTAATTGCCCAAAAAATCTAAAAAAAATACACAAAAAAGTTTTTTTTGTATAAAAACATCCTGAAATTTTTTCAGAATTTTTAGAGACTATGATGGAAACGGGTTGCTGAGTGGACAGAGAATCCTCCATATGAAATCATTCTCAGCTGAAACATTTATTGTTCTCACTGATTGGTTATCTGGCACATCGGATATGCAGCCAGAAATTCGGTTCCCAGTTTCGTTCCGGGTAATAACGTTATCTGAATTTTGTTACCTATTTCGTTACTAGCAATAACGTTATTTGAATTTCGTCACCTATTTCGTTACCGGCGATAACGTTATTTCAATTAAATACCGATTTCGTTCCCGGCAATAATGTTACTCGAATTTTGTTACCTATTTCGTTACTAGCAATAACGTTATTTGAATTTCGTCACCTATTTCGTTACCGGCGATAACGTTATTTCAATTAAATACCGATTTCGTTCCCGGCAATAATGTTACTCGAATTTTATTACCTATTTCGTTTCCGGCAGTAACGTTACTCGAATTTCGTTCCCTATTTCGTTCCCGGCTATAACGTTATTATTTCGTTCCGTTTCCGACCCCAGTAACGATACCGGAACGGTAATGCGTTACCAGTCCCTGGTTTTTGATGAATATCCTAGAATCTGTGGGTGGTAGCCAAATTTTCATTATAAACTTGTTTGGTGAGGAACTAGGTTTAGGGTGGATGTGGGAGAAAAATGTAGAGGGAGATGCTGGAAAATTAATGATGGCACTGATTATAAAAATGTCACTGTTGATAGTCTTCAATTTTAATAAAGTTAAATCACTGATAATAGTTGAATTTTAGCTAATTATTGTGGTGATGTACTGAACGAAACTGTGATCTTACAAAGACCGGTGATGTACTTGATTACTAGTGAGCTAGGTGAGGTTCAAGAAGCTACTGTACTCGATAAGGTGCGATGTAAGACTTCTACAGGTGATTTGCCCGAGTTAGACTTGTACGGTGAGAGGCTAAGCCTAAACTGATTCGCGCGTGTTTCGGTCACTTATGACTGATGACCCGAAGGGTCCCGGAGATTTTCGAAGTAGGCCGAGCTAGTCGACCAGAATGTTCTGGAATTTTAGTTGCGTTTCAAACAAAACTTTTTTGTAGATCTTTATTTGCTCTATAAAAATGGTCTTGACAAAAATTTTGCTATTCTCCAAAGTTTTCGAGATATTCAATGAAAAATTAACAATATTCAAAATATTCAATAAAGTTGAATTTTGTCATCCTTGAATTTATTTAGACCTCTGAAATTCCGAGACTATATTGCAACCTTGGATTTTTTTCTGGTTTCATGAGCCCTTCAATTACAACAAAATATTTTTGTGTGTGAATAATTATTTTTTATCGATGAGAATAATTTACTGGATAAATTAGAGACATTTCTAGAAATTGCAAAATAATCGTTCAAATTTCTAGGAATTCCAACAGAATTGAAGAACACAATAGAAAAAAGTAATTCTCACAATTTCCAGAAATTTCTGAACAATTTGAAGATTTTTAAAAGTTGTAGAGAAATCGAAGAAACTTCGAGAAAATTCTCGAAGCTTCTCAAAATTTCCCAGAAATTGAAGAAATTGCTAATTTCAGGAGAAATCTTGCGAGTTTCTAGAAACTTTGAGAAGAGAAATTTCAGAAATAATTCTAGAAATATTGAAAAAATTCTTCAAGCATCTAGAACTCTAGAAGGAATTCGGTAAACCTAGAATTTTTGAAAGAATTGCTTCCGTTTATGAAAATTCCGAAGAAATTTTGAAAATTTCCAGATTTCCATGAATTCCGAGGGAAAAGAAGCAAACACTAAAAAATAGAGAATTCTTAAAAGTTCCAGAAATTTCAAAACAATTCAAGGATTTCTGTACGGAGAGAAATTTCCAAGAGAAATTCTAGTACTAGTACTGGAAAAGAGGGTTAAAGTGATAGCCAGGGAAAAATTCTAGTGCTGGCAATGGACATTTTATTGGTGTTCCTGNAAGAAGCAAACACTAAAAAATAGAGAATTCTTAAAAGTTCCAGAAATTTCAAAACAATTCAAGGATTTCTGTACGGAGAGAAATTTCCAAGAGAAATTCTAGTACTAGTACTGGAAAAGAGGGTTAAAGTGATAGCCAGGGAAAAATTCTAGTGCTGGCAATGGACATTTTATTGGTGTTCCTGTGAAAATTTCACCTAAGTACACGAAAAATTTGCAGGAATACCAATAAAATTTCCAGTGCCA